GCGGGCGCAGCAGGACCACACGTCCACGTCAGGCCAAGCCAACGACTCGACTGTGACCAACCGACCGCAGGCCAAACGCTCCCGGTTTGAATCCGACAGCCCACCGCTGATTGGACGGAGGCGTCGGCCAATCACGCTTCGCGCAAACTGCCGGGAGGCGAGACCGGCTCACAGCCTATCGTCACCCCCCATCCTAGGCGTTGGCTCCCATGATGAGCCAATCAGAGACCTGTTGCGAGGTCGCTCCATGGAAGAAGTGGATGATTGGCAAGACGTGGGGACGAAAAGCTCCCGGAAGGAAAGGGGCGTGGCCGAGGAGGGCGGAGCCGGGATGTTAAAGGCCGCAGAGCGCGTGCGCAGAAGTTTAGAACGTTCCAGGTCCGCCGAGCCGTTGGGGTGGGCGGGTCGGCGCGAGGGGTGAGGTATCGCGGGGCTTGGCGAAGCGCGGTGGGGTTGCGCGCCTAGCGTCCGCCTTCGCGCAGGCGCAGTCTGGGCGGCCCGAGAAGGGCTTTGGAAGCGTGGGAGGTGAGGCAGTCCGGCCGTGGGGAGGGAGGGGAGCCAGCTTCCCGGCCGCCGCGGGCCTGGCCTCGGGACCGGGGGGTAACGGCGCCCGCGGCGGGCGGGCGTGGCCAGGCCCTGGGCGGCGCGGTCCGGAGCCCACGTCGGGCAGACTGAGGTCGCCGGAGGAAGTACGCGGACCCGTGAACCCGCTGTCTGTAGGTGGCAGAGCGACCTCGTGGTGACTGACGCCTCGCGTTCCGCACCGGGCACACGCCCTGCGCTTCGGGACCGCTGTGGATCGCCGCTGGAGCAGGAGCATCGGCGGGCGCAGGGCGGGGATCCCACCCGGTCCCGCACCTGCTGGTGCCCCCGCCGCCCACCTGCGCGCCGCACCTGCTGGGTCCCGCCCCTGCCCAGCGCCTCTGCGGGCCACCTGTGCCCAGCACCGGGCGAGCATCCGGAGGCCTGAATAATTGGGGGTAATGAGGTGCGGTGATGGTAAAGATGTGATAAACCGTCACGGGAGGTGGACAGGGGGACCTCTGACTTTCTGGCAGAGCCTAGGAATGAGTAGCTTTCTAGGAGATTTATTTTTACGGAGACGTATTGAGGAAAATTTTAGGTGGAAAAGTGGGGTAGTATAATCACGTCCGGGGTACCCAGTCACTGAGCTTAGCGGTTCATGCTCTGGCCATCTTGTTTCACGTACTCCCCTCTTCCTTTTTTCCCTGGAGAGGCCCAGGTATAATGTCATTTCGCTTTGAAAGGGTGCTTATGAGTATATCGCTGTATTTATGGGGTAGGTCTTAAGAAAAACTTTAAGAATATTTAGCACCATGCCACTATTACACTTACATAATTCTTATGATCCTCTGAGGGCTGGTTTAGAGTCACATTTCCCTGACTGTCTCCCTTTTGACCTCCACATCCAGACCTGGGCCCCAACATGCAATTTGGTTGGATCCATCTCTCACCCCCCCCCCCCCACACGGTGACCCACCATCCTTTATAATAGAGATTTCAATGAGAAAGCAGGCCATGGGTGCCTGCGGAACAGCAAGCAGTCTGGATTTGGGTAACTGCTTCCTTGTGGTGTCCTTTACCTTTTTCCCTTATAATCGTATTTAGATCCAGGTGAAAACAACACCAATAACTACTTGTCCAAATCCATTTAGCAAGTAAGTGGCAGACCCTGATTTGAACCCCAACAGTCAGACTCCAGAGTTTGGCCTCTTAACCACTACTGTGCACTGTCAGGGACCTGCAGGTGGAAACCCGGTATGTGCTGGGAATGTAGAATGCAGAGGTCAAGGGAAGGAAGGCCATGGGACGTGAATCTGGGAGGATCGATGTCATAGACAAAAACAGCCCCAGAGATGTCCCTATCCCGATCCCCGGAACCTGTGGATATGTTACCTTGTCTGAGATGGTGCGATGACCCTGCGTTATAGTGGCTGGTCCAGGGGTATCATGAGGGTCCTAACAAGGGAGGCAAGAGGGCCAGAGGAGGAGCTGTCCCAGAAGGAGAAGTCAGAGTGGCACGAACGCAGGTGGCCCCTTGAGCCTGGAAAAGGAATGGGTGGCTTCTCCCCGAAAGTCCCAGAAAGAACACAGCTCTACAGACTCCTTGATTGGAGCCCAGTAAAACCTATTTCAGACTTCTGATCTCTGTAACTGTCAGATAATAAATTTGTGCTGTTTTAAGACACTAAGTTTGTTGTAAAAACAGCAATAGAAAACTAACTGAATTGGGCCAGACTGGGAAGGGATTCTTGGACTCCTTGCTGATAAGTTTGGGCATTTTGATGACTGTGGGGTGGCTGATGTTCTCAGCAAGATCAGGTCAGATGAGATGTGATAAAGGTAAATGGGAGGAATGGGGGGATGGGGCGGAAGGAACCACCTCACCAGGGGCTCCCCGTTAGAAAGAGACTTCGCTTGATAGGAAGAGGGAAGTGCTCATGGACTGAGCACAGTGACAAAGAGGTCAAGGGCAAAACTAGCCCGTCGGTCCATATTCAGTCATTCAGACCAGGCAGTGTGCTAAGAGAGCCTTCCTCCTGGGGAATGCATTCTTTCTTTCGACTGCTCCAGTTATTAACTGCCTGTCTAGAAGGCACCGTACAGTTGGCATAAACATTTTTTTCTTTGTCCCTTCTGGGCCTCCACATCAATCATATGAAGGACAGCAGTGCAAGTACAAAGCCTGCCTTGACCCCAATTTCCCATTCTAAACAAGCTGAAATTTTAAATGTACATATTATATGAAAAGCAGTTATTCACCACATCAGTGGAAGATGCTTCCGATGATCAAGTCTGTGTGTAAGTAAGACTAAGTATATTATTTAAAATACGAGTTTCTCTCTGTTCCACTAATACAAGCACAAGGTCATGACCTCATTCAGGACCGACAGCACATAGAACAAAGCTCAAGTTTGAGCTCTGAATGCTTACTCTCCATCATCCTCTTGACTTTTCTGTGAATAATTATACATGAGAAAGCATCAGATTGCATATGCCAGCTTCAGCGACCGCACCCACTGCTGTTCAGTGTTAGTGTACTTTTGAATGTAATTCTCAATTCCCAGCAAACTCCTAGCGCTCTTCCTAGGAAGTTTTATCCCATTTATCTTTGACAGTTAAAGAAGTAAAAAATATTTATTAAAAGAAATAAGGTGTCTGTTCGTTCCTTTCTCAACAATCCTGTATCACAGATTTAACCACTGATTTAAACACCATGGATTATCCACATAGACTTTTTTGTACACTTAATACAGACGTATCAGTGTCAGAATTAGGGACTCCTCTGTACATCCTTAGTTTGTAATATTCTTTATAAATATAATACATTCTTTATAAATACAATACTACTTTATAAAATATTCAACAGTTTGTTTTTTTTTTTCACCCTCCTGGGACTCCGGTAACGTGAATGATCACTTCTGGGATCTTGTTGAGGCCTTCAGTGTTTCGTTGAAAGGGTGTTCAAGACTCTCCTTCCATCAATGCTGGCCCTTCCTGGTCTCTGTTGACTCCTGCCTGAGGGAGCTCCGCAGGGCTCAATCCTCGGCTCCCTGTGGTTCTGCCGAGTTTTGCCGCGCGTGGATTTTGCGACTTTGTTAATTGGTTGCACTTAAGAGGGCTCTGTCTCCATGGCAAGTAGACCATCTTATTAGGTGACGTCCCTCCTTGTCTTGGTAATTCTCTTTACTCTGAGGTCTGCTCTGTCTGATACGAATATAACCTCTTCAGCCTTCCTTTCAACAGGGTTTGTATCCTACAGCTTTTTCCATTCTTCTACATTTAACCTACCTATATCTTTCTATTTGAAGTGAATTTCTTGTAGGCACCATATAGTTAGGTAAACTATTTTTACCTATTTTCCATCTCTTAATTGGTATTTAAGGCCTTTCACACTTCATGTAATGACTGACTTTTGGCTTTAAGTCTGCCATTTTATTATATTTTCTACTTGGTGTCTCTTTCCTTCTTTAGTTCTGCTTCCCCTTTACTTTCTTCTTGTACTGGCTCAAGAAACAAACACCGAAGGTTCCTATATCCATTACACTGAAGCAGTAACTAAAAGTCTTCTAAAGAAAACACTGGACCCACACGACTTTGCAGAAGAGTCTGTTCTATCAGGCAAGAAAATGTTGATTGAAAAACCAAACGTGGACAATATGAGAGAGGAAAGTAATGCCCCTCTCACACAAACAGATACATACATGTTAACACCCTAAGTAAAATGCTGGTCAGCTGCACCCAACTGCATTTTTAAAGACAGCCTGCCATCCTACAAATGTAAAGGTAGCGTAATACTAGAAATGTTAGAAAATTAGCAGCACAAAGGAGAAAAAAGATGCTCCTCCCCAACATGCAGAAAAAAAAAAACTGACAAATTCATCATGCTTTTAGAATATAAACTTAGTAAACTCACCACTCACTGGTGATACCTCTCTTAGTGATCAAAGTAGGAGGAAGCTTTGTTAACCTCATAGAGACCGCTATAAAAAACATTTAACAGAATTCTTACGAAGAAATATCAGAAGTATTCTCTTTAAAATTTCCTATTATCTCCAATTATATTGAGCAATGTGCTGGAAGTCAGAGCCAGCACAATAAAGGAGAAATTGAAGTTACAGTAATTGGAAAGGAAGATCTAAAACTTTGCAACTGATACACTTATCTTTATATCTGGATGTAAGATCAATGCATAAGTCAATTGTATTCCTACATACCAGAGCAAATAACTAGAAGACCTGCGAAAAGAAATATGATTACATTAGCATCAAATGTCACATACTGGGGATAAGCCTAAGGGGGAAAAAAAAAACAACATAAAACACAAAGTCCTGATAAGCAAAATTGTGAACCTTTAAGAGAGAAAAAGACACGTGACTGGAGAGATACAGTGTGTTCATGCTTGGGAAGCCATAATGTGGTTAAAACACAAATTCTCTCCAAACTGATCATAATGTCAGTCTAATTGCAATAGAAACACCACATTCAGAGAATAAGTTCCTTGGATGAGAAAAGGGCCAAGAATAGCAAAGACACTTCACTGGACTCTGTTGATGCAAACTGACCAGAAAGCACTCTAATAAAAGAAGAAAACACTTTTATTTGAGTCCAGATTAGGACATCTGTCTGGGAAATGTGATCTTCACAGGGAGGACACTGCCCTGGTGAAG